GTTGAAGGGAGGAGAGGAACGGGGAATGATAGGATACGATAGATTATACACAGGTACAAATTCCTTATGATGAATGTGAATAATATGTATGACAAATATGCACTAATGAAAAATATAAAGTTTTTAAAAATGTAGCTTTGGGGGCCCTCCCAGAAGGATGGTCTGATGTCTGGGGATATTTTCTCATCTCTCACACCGTAGTCTCAGAGCAACAATTTGGAGGATGTGCTGTGGCTCAGCCTTAGTAGTTCTAAATGTTGGGTTTCGTTTTCCTCCTTGCTGATTTTAAATTGCTTTCACTTTCCAGATCCCTTTTCCCTTTCAAAAAGGCAATTACTACTTAGAAACCCAGAGAAAGCATCAGCTGGTACATTCTCCTTGCCTCCCGCTTCCTCCTTATTTAGTCTCTTCAGCATTTACTGCAGGCAGCTGAGGAAGATTTCTGAAGAGCAAATCAGTATGGTCAGCAGCTTTTTGGAACAGCGGAGAAGCATAATGCAGCAAGGAGGTTAGTGAAACAGGAATGCTTAACCGACCTTGTCCCAGATTCCTGATAATGGACCCATCATCTAGTGCTTAAATTTCATTCTACAAGTAGAAATCCTGTCCTTAAAAAAAGAAGTTTCCTTCTCCAGTGTCCCTGGTTCTTTTCTTCTTAAAAGTACTCCCACCCACACACATATGTTTTATGTTTCCTCTCCCTAATACTACACTGTCCTTGTTCATGAGTGTGTTTATGTCAAGGACATATTGGACGAGATTCATAATATCTAATCAGCTGAGCCAGCCCCCCTCTAAACCTAGACGCCTGCCAAATTCATAGTATTCATGTGATAAACACCCGTTCTGTTTTCCTGACACTCTATTACTAAGCAATAATTTTATGAACAAAAATTCCAGTCCTACTGCTCTCAGTATACACAGATCTTCTGACATTCATTTCATTATTTGCTTATCTTTCCATCCCTTTCTTTGAGAGTTGGGATAAACCTAGTGCCTCGCAGAACATATTGCATCTAAAAACTCATTTATTCTATTAGAAGCCTCCCATCTGATATAGAACTGGAAGAAGAGAGCTGGGCCCAGGATTTAGCTCAGTGGTGCTGCTGCCTGCTTCCTAAGTGCAAGGTCCAGAGTTTGATCCCCCATCCCCCCAAAAAAAGAGAGCTGAAAGTGTTGCCCCTCCCCCAGATCCTTGACCTGACCCTAAAGTGAGAATATCTAGATAGTTCTGGGCTGAACCTCACAACAGAATACTCATGTCTCAGAGGCTGCACAGAGACATGATATGAGGCACCAGTCTTGGAAAGGAAAAGTACTCCCAGATGCACAGAGAGAAGTACATGCCTACTTCCTGCGGTTAAAAACATCACTCACAAGTCCTGAATGATCTTAAGTGAGACACGCTTTTCCTAAAATATCCCATTTCTTATCACAATAACTCCATGAGGAAAGGCTCAATGCCACCCTGAATTACAGGTAAGTAAATACGACTTGGAAATGTGAGGTAACTAGCCCAAGGTCACACATTCAATAAATGCCAAGTCCAGCAGTGACCCCAGACAGACTGGCTGCAGGTAGCCTCCCCCACTGAGCAGTACTATCTTGTGGGCACAAAATCAGGCAGAAGTGAAATGTTTTAATATTTTCCATTATGCCCAAACTGAGGAGAAAGGAGGAAGTCTCAGGAAAAGATGTCTCATTGGCTCCAATGTGGAAGAAGAGCTGTTCTGTGGTGGCATTTCATATCTTTTTCTCAGAGTCCTAAAAGGTATGTCTGAGAGAAACCTTGCCAGTACATGAAAAGCCAGGGTTTGCTGCTTCTCAGAATAAAAAGGTTTGCCCATCAATCACTCTTCCTTTTAAGCAAAATTAAACTTCCTTGGAGGCCTGTCTGGGCACAGCTCCTTTTCCTTTGTTCTCTCAGTGGTCCCACTTTCCATTTCTGTACTGTCATCATGCTTGGAGAATGTTACTACCTACTGCAATAACTGCAGTACACTTAGGGAGAGTAGGATTAGGGTTCCTATTATTCAGGCACTCTTGTGGGTTAGTGGATTGAAGAACACGAGGATCCAGACAACATTGTGTGCCGTCAGGAATGCCAGCTGGGAACTTGTCTGATGCTGATGGGCAGTTGTGGTATATGTCACGGGGCCTAAATCCATCCTTAGAGGAGACATGGAAAAAAATTTTCTTTTTTTCCTGGTACCGGGGAATCAAATTTGGGTCCTTGTACTTGTGAGGCCGGTGGTAGAACCGCAGAGCTAAATTTCCAGCCCCTGAAAAACGTTTTTAATTTGCACAGGTTGTTTTTTTAACTATATCCCTTTTTAAGCATACATTTTCCCCATGAGATCTGCACATTTGAAATGCAAATGCACAAAGTCCTGCTTGATATTCATTTTCTGATTAATTTATCTTTGGCTTTGGAAAGGTCAGGATACCCCTCTGTCTGTTGGGTAATTTCTGTGCTGCCTAATACAGAATTTCCCTGAGAAGAAGAGCAATGCTGGAGATCTGGGAATCTGGCCTGGTGTTCTCCTTAAACACATAAACAATTTCACAGGACATGAACATCAGACAAGAACCCCCTGTAACCATGGTAGATCAAGGCAAACACAAGATCAGTCTGTAATCATGTCTGAACATAGGACAAAAACATTAAGCTTGTTTCACTTCCAATGGCCTCGCAGAAGATGATAAACCATCCACTACTTCATTCTTCCACAAACTAACAAAGGCTTTCTATAGTATTCCTCCAGGTATAAACCTCTGTCCTGATTTAAAAAGGTACTACTGCAGGTGTTCTAGGAGAGTATACTAACAAATGATACCAGAATCTGACAAATTCCATGAAAATATACATTTCAAAAATAATAATAATAAAGAGATAAACATTGCCTGAGGACAAAAGAAAATATGCATCTCTATTTTCTACTGGGCTTGCCCCAACATGGGATAGATTGTCAGATTCAATGAGACAAATAACCAAACAGCCCCCTAACATGGCTAATATGATGGACAAGCTCTTTTCCAAATTACATCTTTGGCCTTGGTCTAGTCTTCTCTCTTTCTCAATATGATCCCCAATCATAGAATTATTCCTGCTTCCCAAAAGCATCTACTCTTGAGCAAAACCCCGCTTCCTTGAAAATTCTTCATAATTCCCTCAACATAAGCTTGAATTTGGTAAATATTCTTAATAAGAGGCTCTACTGTACCCCAAGTTGTATGCCCTCTTTCACAGTCGCAAGGGCAATGTACCCAACTTGTTCAACCACAGGCTGTTTCTGGAAGTACTTGGTTGGAGAGGGCTAACATGGAAAATGCCCATCATTGATGATAGGGTTACCCCCATCATCCACCACCCCCTTAAAGTGAATGAAGGCCAGCCAGAGACCCAAAACAAAGTGGGAAGTTCACTGTCATGAGAAAGAACACCAAGGATTTCAACACATAAGAACTAAAAGCTCATATAAAACATATCTTACAAGTCTTTTTCTCTTTTTACAATTAAAAAATTAAGGCACTGCATAGCCCAATTAAATGTCTACATGAACAGATCATAATATATGGGATTAGGAAAAATACATATAATACAGTTTTAATTTTTGTAATGATCTCCATTAGTTATGGCAATACAAGCTGTTATCCCAGAAAAATGCTGAAATATGACTTGGGCAACAACATACAAATTTACTTCTCATATTCCTGATTGACAGATGGCTATCCTATGATTCAAGGACTAAGTTTTCGTCCATCATCTTTAATAGATTGCTTCCTGGTGTTTCCATAAAAGAGGAAAAAGCAGGTGTGTATGTTTTATGGCCTGAGTCTAGAAATGGAATAATAATGTTTGCTTATTGTCCATCATCCAAAACTCAAGTTCATGACAGTATCTTACAGTATGGGAACCTGGGATATATATTTTACTTAAGAGTCCAGGACAATGAAGAAATATTACAGCCAGGCTACCATTTTACTTAATAATTGTTAGTAGACTATAAACAAATTAGTAACTTTATCTGGAAATGCTCAAAGGGAAACTACTCCCAGCTTTTGCCCTTTTGCTTATCTTGTTGTACCCTCTGCATAATAAAGATACAGAAACTTACAGAATGATTCAGTAATGCTTCGCCAGAGGATTTCTGAGGAGCAGTCTTTGAAGTTTTCCTTTATCCCTGCTAATTGCATTTATAGCCAGGAAGTACACTAGCTCTATTCTCCTGGAAAATTTTTATCAAACATGTGAATGTTTTCTAATAACTCCATGGTGGTCATTGCTTTGTAATAAGTGATATAAACAATACTGGAGAAGAAACATGTGGACAACCCAGGAAAGCTGTGTGAATTTAGATTTGGTTGTTAACATTAATACTTCTACAGTAACGTTGTTTCCAGTAGCCCCATCACAGACTAAGAGTATATGTACCCATTTCTCTACTAACCAATTGGAACAGGGTTGTTTGAATACTAATAAGGTCATCCTATAGTATGAATTGACAATAATACAAATTCTGCTGGAAGACATAAACAATATGAGATTTTTCTTACTGGCAAATATCTCAAATCTAGAGGCAACAAATTCACAGAAGACACCAAGCCACGGGCCACTTTATTCCTCCACAAATTGACAAAGGCTTTCTACAGTTCTTCTCTAGGCATAAACCTCTGCCCTAATTTAAGGAGGTGTCACTGCACATGTCCCAGGATAATGTGATAGTAACAAATGACAACAGAATCTAATTCTATTTTCTACTGAGCTTGCCCCAACATTAGATATTGTAAGAATCCATTATCCTCTCTCCAAACCCACAAGGGCCCCAGCTAGTAATGTGCATATGAAAAACACTTCTCAAAAGTAACCTCTTAGCTGTTGAAACTGAGCCTGTGTGAAACAGACAAGCCTGTTTCATTTTTATGGAGATGGAAATTTGCCAAATTTATTAGGCCTTGAGGGTGTGAACACTTGCATGGGATCCTTCCCATATATAAGCATCACACTTATCTCAGAACCCATAGAACTCCGTGGACGAAACTGAAAGGAGCCTCCCACCCTGCCTGAAAGCACTTCCCAGCACCCGCTATCTCTCAGCACCATGAGGTAAGGGCTTTCTGTGTCTTACTGACCTTATTTCTGTGTACTTTGCAATTCCGAAATGTTCCTTAAAGACCAGTTTCAGGCAGGTCTCCTCCTAAGGGGGCTGTCTCATTCGTGGTTCTGATGCTGATAGGCCCCAACCTGGTATGTGAAGACAGTTTAATGAGATGGTTATTTATGATGGTAAATGCAAAGTTCAAGGAAATCATCAGGAGACAGCGTTGCATGGGGGCTGGGGATTGCCATCTAAAGTGGTAATATGTTCGCTAAATGGTATCAGTAACAAAACAGGTGTAGTCCTCCAGGGACACCAGGGAGGAAGAAGTCCCCAGATCTGGCCAGGCCCTTAGCTGTAGCTGTAGGGGAGGGCTCCTCAAGAGGTCATTGGTGGAAAGCTCAGTGACACAACTGAAAGCCCAGCACAGAGCACTGTGGGAGCTTAGTAATGAATGCTATGACTTGCCTGCTCTTATGTTTTAATTTCTGAGTGGAAACTCACATTTGCCAAATCCAAAAGAAAGTTTAAAAAAAGCAAAGAGGTCCCATCCAAGAAGCCCATTGAGTTTGTTTCCCATGGACTGGGTAGAGTGAAGAACAGAAGAAAGTAGGTCCAAAGTGGCAGATAGGAACATATACACAGAAGCAAGTTTCCTGACCAACCTCTTATAGTGCTTGCTCAGTTAGGGCAGCTAGTTTAATAACAGCAGTAGTGCTCATAGGGGATGAATGAGAAACACTCCTTCATTTCAAACAAGATGCTATTTGTGTTGCGCTTTCTCCTACAGTGACAATTTCACAGACACACACCGTTCCCCAGTAAACAGAGGTCTTAGCCCAGAGGGGAGACTGGCCTGTGGACCCATCAGAGAAAGAACATTTGGACCTTCTTAGGCATTCAGATGGAAAAAGGAGGAAAAGTGATTTTTGATTTGATAATTTGATTAAATCCAGGTGGGAAGAAGGTAATTTTAACAATGGCCAAATTGTTCTTGTTATACAAGTCAGGTTGTGAGATTATCAACTTGTGATTACTAAGAAACTCACTTTTTGCTAAATTAACTGCTCTCAAAATATGATCCTATAACATCAGTTAAGAATTTCCTAGAAATGCAAGTTCCCAGGCCCCAGCCAGACCCGCCGACTCAGAAACTCCAAGTTGACCCAGAAATCTACTTTGAGTCTTTTATTAGCATTAATGTGGCAGGCTAACATTAAGAGAGAAAACACTGAAATAGGTGTTAGATAATTAGAAATCTTATTGAGATTGTGATGTGCTTTTCCAGAAAACAGATATCCTTTCTTTGCTGCTTTAGTTAGAATGGATGAACTGCAGAAAATATTTTTCTACTCAGAAGTATTCTGACCTGCTGTCTGATCTTAGCTGATGTTGTAGTTAGTAAGAGAGAAAGAGCTTTCAGGAAAAGGGGTCCTTCTTCAAGGATCCATCCCCAGTAAATAGCTGAGTCTGACTGGAGAAGAAGCTCTTGGTCAAAATGGCATCACCTGTGCTGGCATCTGTGGCGCTGACAGGAAGCAAGGCCTCCCACTGCCCCAGCCTCGGTAGCCAAGATACCCAAGAAGTTTCACAATGGCCTGTACTTGTGTTTTCAGACCCCCTTTTCCCAGCCACACCCTGAGCTGTCTTGTGGAACTTCTGGGTTATCCCAGACTAAATAAAGCTTACATGGAAATACTCCTGGTACCAGTGGTACAGGGACAGAGTCAAAGTGAGCTCCTTCCATGCAGGCTAAGAGAGAAGGATCCAGGGAGATGCCACCATAATTTGTGGTCAGAAGTTCCCATCTGCTACATGTATAGAAAGATTAGGTCACCACATAACTGAACAGCCTCCTAACTTATACTAATATACATAATACTCACAGCAAGACTCTCTGTGTGCTTCCTAGATAACAGGAGGACCTGAGGTTCTCAGCATTCCTGCCTGGAGAGTATGAACATTTCTATGATGTCATTCTACCCCACAGTCTTCCCAAGGCCCAAGACAAAAGCAAGATAAAAATGACACGTTGTTAAAATGCTACCTATAAGAAAAAACAGCAGTTCTCTTCTAGCAGGTTGGCACAAAAGCCCTGTCGAGTTGTTCAACTTGGATTTTTAAAGTCCTATAGTCTTCACAAAGGTAGAACCCTAACTATACTTTCCACCTTGAATACACATCTAGAAGATCATTTTCTACTTTTTACAAATGTGCTGGCTGGGACAACCCTGAGATGCCTGAGATTGGGCTGGATATTTAGAAAGTTTGAAAGAGTTCATTCTTGAGTATTTTAGCTGCTAAAGGGTAATGGTCATCTATGTGGAAAATATTTCCGTGGGCAAAGTCTGTCCTCTTACCACACACTGCAGTGAGGAGGAGTAGAGCATTTAGGCCAAAATCTCTTCCTGACTCCATCTCCTTTAGGGGTACTGATGTGTTTTGGGAGCACTCAAAGGCATGATAATAATTTTACTTGCTTTGACCTCATCTCCCCTCACCCTAACACATGCACTTACACACACACACACACACACACACACACACACACACACACACACAGATTTCCTTGGGTAATATTTCTATCATTGGTGGTGGAAAAGAAAGTTTTGGGTCTCCTCACCTCAATAGTCCACCAAGCAAGAGCCAGGGACATCATCCTCTGCAGACTCAGACCTAGAAAAATGGCTTGGAAGTATGAAGAGCGTGGGCAGACACATTCAAGGAGAACCTGAGAGCAGAGCTCTGTGTTTTTTGTTTTTTTGTTTTTGTGTTTTGTAGCAGGGATTGAACTCAGGCCCTTGCACTTGAGAGGCAGTTACCCGAACCACTGAGCTAAATCCCTGGCCCACTCTGGTGGGTTTTTGAAGTGAATGCTTGAGGAAAATGAGAACTATGTTGAGCAGCTAATGTGCAGAGAGGCAACAGTAAGTCTGAGTGTGCTCTGCCTACCTCATTTCGTGAATTTTTTCTTTTCCTTCATTTTCAAAAGGGAGTGTTTTATAGTCTAATTTTTGTGACTAAAACATGGTTATATATTGTGAGTCAGGATGGTAGGATTTATGTAAAACTATTTTTAATGTATATTGATATACACAGGTTAAAGAAAATTTCTTAAGATTCCCTTCTGGGATCTTCTTTTGGGCCTAATGGGTAGAAATATATCAGGTATAGAATGTGAAATAATACCTACTTAGGATGTAAGGACTGCTTTTATCAAAAAATAGAGACAAATTTCTTTTTCTTCCTTCATATTCCTAAAGAAAGAATAGGGCTTTACCTCCACTTCAGAGGAGGGGGAATTATTGGAAAGAAATCTTTTATTCACATTGACCCTTATTGGATAGCAGGGGACAATTAATATAACTGTTGAGGTTTTGAGTACCTGTCTTGCACTAAGCTACAGAGTCATCTGACCTCAGGGTCCCTTAATTACAGCAGAGGGACTTACCCTTGACCTCATGCTTCTTTCACTCATCTGGCTGCTTCTGACCCCAGGCAATAAATTCTGCCACTGAGATGGCTCCTCCCATTGCTTAGCCTCTCTGTTTTGGACTAGCTCAGTAAATTCATAGAGGCAAAGGAGGTAGGATGCCTTACCACATTTCCCAAATTACTTTAAGCATTCAGGACATCACCAAATCTGGGTTTTATATTCAACTCAGATCCTTTCTTGGCAAGAGGGAAATGCAAACATGCTTCCATATTGGGAATGTGGAAAAGATGAGTAAAGGGTCAACATTTCTATTAATCCTTACTCTACATTTTTTCTGAGATCATTAGTGATATAATACAGTGTTAGAAGAAAGCAAACGGGGAGAAGAGATTCACAGAGTTGAAAGTGGTGCTCAAATTATTTTAATCTTAGCAGAATTATTTTGAGTTGATTTTCAGACTCATTTAACTGACACCATTGAGAAATTAACATTTCCTACGGGCTTTTATGTAGCACTTTCTGCTGGTGGACAAGACCACAGAACCCAAAGAGGCAGCAAATTATAGAGGCAGTGATAGAGGGAGAAAGAGTATCTAACGATTAAAAATGATATGTTCATTCCCAATATACTAAAACTTTAAAAAGTAGCATAATTGTGATCTTTCTACAGTAAGGAATCTGATGGAAATCCAATGGAACACAGCCTGCTTCAGCTGAGATGTCACTTTACTTGGGAGCTGATAATTGAAGATATTGACATGCCTGATTTAGAAAACAGGGTTTTGGAAGAGATTGAGTTCCTTGACACAAAGTACAATGTGGGAATTCACAACCTCCTGGCCTATGTGAGACACCTGAAAGGCCAGAACGATGAAGCCCTGCAAAGCTTGAAAGAAGCTGAGGACTTAATCCAGAGGGAGCACGTGAACCAGTCAGACAAGAAGAACATCGTGACCTGGGGCAACTATGCTTGGGTGCATTACCACATGGGCAGGTTGGCAGATGCCAAGATGTACCTGGACAAGGTGGAGAACACTTGCAAGAAGCTGGAAGGTCCGTCACGTTTTAGGATGGAGTGTCCTGAGATGGACTGCGAGGAAGGATGGGCCTTGCTGAAGTGTGGAAAAAGAAACTATAAGCGAGCCAAGGCCTGCTTTGAAAAAGCTCTGGAAGTGGAGCCTGAAAACTCTGAATTCAACACTGGATACGCCATTGTGGCCTATCGCAGTGAGAACAACAGGAATGCAATTTCTCTAGACCCCTTGAGGAAGGCCATGAGGCTAAATCCAAATGACACATATATCAAGGTCCTCCTTGCCCTAAAGCTTCAGGAGATAGGAGAGGAAGCTGAAGGAGAAAGGTGCATTGAAGAAGCCCTGAGCAATAAGTCCTTCCAGACTTATGTCTTTCGATATGCAGGCAAGTTTTACCTAAGAAAGGGCTGTGTAGAAAAAGCTCTTCTGTTCTTTGAAAAGGCCTTGCAGGCAACTCCCAACTCTGCCTTCTTGCATTACCAGATTGGACTTTGCTACAAGACACAAATGATCCAAGTAAAGAAGACTACAAACATGCAGCCAAGAGGCCGGGATAAAGAAAATGTGGACAGATTGGCCCGATTGGCTATATTTGAATTTCAAAGCACTTTACAACTAAAGCCCACATATGACATGGCTTATGTGACTCTGGCTGAAATGTATGCAGAAACGGGCCAATTAAGAAAGGCAGAGGACAATTTTCAAAAGTTATTCCACATGAAGAACATCGATAATCACATACAACAAGAGATTCATTTCCGCTATGGACGTTTCCAAGAATTTTACAGGAAATCTGAAGATAAGGCAATCACTCATTATTTAAAGGGTCTAAGAATAGAAGAAATGTCATATGCCACAGAAAAACTTCTAAGTGCTCTGGAGAAATTGGCTGAAAGACGTATGCACCAGAATATTCACATTGTGGAAAGCTTTGGCCTCCTTGGCCTGGTCCACAAGTTGAAAGGGGATATGAATGAGGCCCTCCTGTGCTATGAGAAGGCTCTGAGGCTCACTGAACACCTGAATCCTATGTTTTGAAGGACAACTTACCACTACCAGTTTCATATTCTCATAACTAAATACAACCACACTCTCTCCTAGTTGCTACCTCCAAAATGTATAACCTGGTAAAGCACAAAGTTGTTGGACACAACTCACCTTCTTCTGCCTACCCAGCCCCACTTTCTTTGCCCTGCATCGTGTGTAGTGTGTCTACAAGAGGATCCTTGCTCATCCACCAACTCTCTTGCATTAGTTGACCAGGGATGATTTGTGCTGTTTGGGGTACAAACGTATGGACTAACAAGAATTACTTTCTTTATGAACATGCCTTTGGAATGAACAGCTTCCTTCTTCAGACTGCTGGTGTCCAGGACAGAGACTTCCACAGGGAAGGATTGTTTTTATTTATTTAGGTACCGGGGATTGAACTCTGGACCTTGCAATGGCGAGGCAGATGGCAGCACTACTGAGCTAAATCCCCAGTAGGAAGGGTTATTTTTCAAGTGGCCAAAAGCTCTGAGCTGTGAGAGGATGTAAGAGCAAAACAAAGGACCAAAAATAATAGATAACACAGAGGATGGAGATTCGGGAGTTGCCTATAGAATTTGAACTTGAAGTTCCATTTCTCCAGGCCTTATTGTTGTAGACAAGAACTGATGGTAAGTAAACCCAGCGCACAGCTTTATAATCAGTTCTACCTTTTGTCTACATGTATCTACCTGCTAACACAAGGAACCTATATGATCCAAACACATAGCTGAACATTTGTTCATAGTATAGAAGACTTTTAATGAATAAGGGGCACAAAAGGAAGAAGATTGATTGAGTTCCCTGCCACATAAAATGGCCCTAACCCCACACCCTAAATGGCTCTTCCTGGCAGATAATAAATCACTCCTCATTAGGGGGAAACAAAGACCCAACTTTCCTGCCACAAAGATCTCCCACCTCTAGTCCTTCCTTCCCACTGGAAAATCCAAACCTGCCAATGGATTTAAACCTCACATCTGGCTGCAGCAAACATCTACCTCCACTATGTCCCCCACTTATGACCCTTTGCCCATTTAAAACCTCACCCAGCCAGCCCCTCCGTGCTGCTCTTGCCATTGTCCGAGACAGCCGGGCACCCTATCCTCTGCACCCTGGCCCCCTAATAAAGGCCTACTTTAGGGTGTTCCTGTCTCTGGCTCAATTCCCATCCTCTCAGAGATAGTGTTTTTGGGATGTACAAATCAAAAACGACATAGATTCATACAGTTTTTAGGAGCTTATTGGGTTATATGCGATAGAATTACCTTTGTCTCCTGACCAAAAATATTAATTACTTTTGCTAAGATCACATATTCTTTGTATTTTGCTGGGTACATTCACAGTGGTATGTATTCTATGGTGGTGTGGACACAGAAAACTACAGTACCAAGTTACCCACCACTGAGAATGTTCAGACGAAAGAACCCATGCAATTATACACACTACCAAGTATTTTTTTAATTTTTAAATTTATTTATTTACTTACTTTCTGTTACCAGAGATTGAACTCAGGACCTTGAACTTGTGAGGCAAGCACAGCACCACTGAGCTAAATCTGTGGCCCCAAGTCTTTTAAAACACATACACACACACACACACAGTATTTACTTCTATAGGCCTTCACATTAGAAAGTTGACTTGTATCACCTTGATTCCTGAGAGCTGGGATGGATCAATGGTAGGAACTAGGGATGAGCTTGGCAGTGTCATTATCCTGACACTTGGGGAACACACACAATGACACCCTTTTCACATTTTTTTGATGCTAAACCAGGAACCAATTTATTAAATTCAACCAGAGGAAACTACTGGGGCAGGAATATTGTCCTTTCTCTGTCAGAAAGGTGAGATTGTTCAGTTGACCCGGCCTCTCCTGACTGACCCAATTCATGGACTAAATCTACTTTTCTAAGGTAGATTCACATATTACAATGTGATTCTAGTTGTCACACTAGACTGCTTTTGGCGTAGCACAGTTCTATGGTTGTTGCTAAAGTGACAGATATTTTTTCTTAACCACTGCCTTGTCTCAGCAAAAAAGAAGTAAGGGGGGCTTTAAGACCTTCTTGGCAGAAGGGTATAAGGGACATAATGGGGGACATTATACACATAAAACCCAATATTTTATAAATATTAATGCATTAATAATAAAAGAAAAAAGATCATCTTGGTTGAAATCATCACCAATATAAGAAAAGTACTCAGCTAGTTGGAAGTTACATTTTGTTTTACCAAATTTCTTCATTAATATTGTACCATTCCCAGAACCCTAGATACTGGGACCAAAATCTGTTTCCTTAGTATTGAGGTTTGTACAGTTGTGTGTATATGTGTATGTATATCTATTCATGCACATATGAGGGTGTATGTACTTGGGGGAACATAAGTCCTAAAATAACCTATAAGTAACATCCATTCTTACACACAGAAGAGATTAAAAAAGCCACCATGGGTTTGATGGCTGAACATCTTTTAACTTCTTCTCTTATCAGGAGCTCCTACCTTATGGGGCTTGGAAAAATGGGACATATAGAAGAATGTGTGACTATCTGCTTATATTAAAATAAAGCCATCACAAAATAAATGAAATTTTGTACTGTTTACTTCTGAACACAGCAGAGGCAAAGAAAGGAGGACAAAAATAAAGTTTTCCGTATCTAATTTTGGAATTATGTTGACATTTTATATTTTTTAAAAAATCCACATATACATAGTGAGATATCTTACCAGTTAATAGTACTGACTGCTTTTTATGTAACCAAGAAGGAGACAAATTGATGGACAGGGAAATGAGTGGATAAATACATGTGTAATAAGGTAAACATAGTAAATTGTATAGGGTCTCTCTCTATATATATTTATATGCATATTCATTTTAAAATTCTCTGAACTTTTCTGACAATAAACATAGTAAAATGCTTGAAACAACAGATGTTCCTCAGGATTTAGGATCTCCATCTGCATAAATTTCTTATTGTTCTAGGATTATTACCTCAGCCCTCTGAGTCATGAGTTACAAGCTTTTTTCTGCATTTCATTGATTACTTGGCTTTTATGCTTTAAAGCAACAGCTTCTTTCATACAAGACATAAAATGAGCTTCAATTGCATCCTTAGATGGACAGTGTAGAAGATCCTTTTCTGGAAAACTCTACCAAAGGAAAAATAATATACCTATAAATTTAGTGCACACATTATAAAATCACTCCCTAAAAACCATACAATATTTCCAAATTTTCCAATATTTTTAGTAAGCCATCTTTTGTAACTACATTGCTTTTTTCAATTAACTTTAAAAAGTTTTAGCTATTTGACACACCTTTTACATTGCCCAAATAATATATATATATAT